GCTTAAACTAAATATCTCCCAGGCAATAGAGTTACAAAGTATAAAAACATAAAATATAAAAAAATACATTTAACACATATAGGAATCCCCCAAAAATAGTATATCCCCAGATAGCCTGGACTGTGTGCCCAAGTTGTCCAAATAGTGCTCAGATCCCACGATCTGTCGAACGGTTCCCCTGGCATATAGGTAGCGATGGTTCGACTAGTTTGTGTGAATAATTCTACCGAACAGTGCTCTCCTGTCTTGTTGGGAAAAGAAACAGGCGTTTGTAGGACATCAATAGTAAGAAAGTGGAAAAACACCCAGAATACGTGTAAATTAATATATGAAATATACAACAACCTGATGGAAAATGTAATCCATATGAATTCTGTATAAAAATCAGAAATCCAACATAGCGTAATACAGTAAAAAAACTTAACAATATATTGATATAAGTGATTGTAGATACACTCACAAACACACGTAGAATATGGCTTCTCGCCCACTCAGGGGCAATATATGATGCGGTGATTAGACTGGAAAATCCTCTCATAGAACATATGGAAATAAAGGAAATCACAGATAGTGAAGTTTGTTATTAAAATACAAAATCACAATTTATTGGTCACACTTACATGTGTGTATAATACAAAGAGCATATCTCTCAGTAACCTTGGAACTCCATGCAGTATGGTCCTCAATCCAAAATAGGAAGTAGCAGGAGGGGTTATCAAAGAGCAGCCAAAATGCAGATATATACAGATTAAAAACGATATAAAATAACAATATGGAAATAAAGTCCATACATAAATCCAACGCGTTTCGTCCTGTCACAATGTAGGACTTCTTCAGGGACATCACCGGTGTTCGTGAGGTCAAGTGTCCGACTTATAGTTCCAGACACTCGACGACCAAATCCCGCTGCCTGCTTTCATGCGACAAGATGCATGCCGTTTTCTCCAGCATGTGTTGTTCAGTTATATGAATGGCAGCCATACAGGGAGAGCACCTAAGTTTGTGGTTAGTTTGTAGTTAATGAGCTGGGGAGATGGTCTATGTTCGGTGTTCAGTAGATTGTAGCTGCTGAACTGGGGAAATGTATTTGTGTTGGGGAAACTTTATACCATGAACTAGGAGGGAAATGTCTTGCAAATACAGGGAAAATAGTGAGTTTGTCACAATGTAGATGGCCCATAGTTCGTGCACAGGAGGCCTGCTTCCATGCTCCTCCAGGAGTTTGTCACAAACATCCAGGGTAAAGAGCATTTGTCACACTCTGTATGTAGGTAAGAGTACTAAGCTGTCTGCAGGGTAAAGTATTACATATTGATCATGGTATTGCATGACTGGGTACTAGGGCTAATTTGAGGGTGTCTGATCTTTTCCTTATGGTTATGCAAGTATGGAGAGACCTATTTCCACCCAGTAACCGTACGACACTGTCACGGTTCACGCCATGACATCCAGACTGCCAGACGTGGTCACTCCGGAAGCGCCCGATAGGGGATTTGAACTGCGGTTGTTTTACACCGTATCCTGCTATCTTCCCTCTGAGCCATTTCAGGACTTTGGATAACTCCTGTTTATTCTTGTTTTGCCTGCAGCACTAGGGGGCTGGACTTCACCAAAGGCTTGGATCTGTCAGTAACTCTCCAGCTGAATCTGATACCTAATTAACAAGGTATAAAAGGCTGCCTCACCCTGGGAGGGGTGTCAGTTCACTGACTCTGGTTCCCTTGTTTGGTTCCTGTTACGCCGTACCTGCGTTCCAGTGATTCTTGTCTAATTCCGGCTTCTGACCTTGGCTTTCCTCCTGGACTACTCTGACCTCTGGCTTCCCTGATTTTGGCTTCCCTTGATTCTGCTAATCCCTGCTGTACTGAGTCTTGGAGCACTTTTCCTGGAAAGTCCCCGTGCACAGACTCACAGGCCAGGTGGCGTCTTACCTGGTCACCCTGGTCTGTGTCTACTTTGCAAGGCTGAGTGTATAACTCTGCGAGCTGGACTCCCTATCAGGTAAGACTCCGTTACAGATGAACTGACCAATGGAGTCCGCAGAGTTATGCAAATTACTCACCTCCCTGGTCGAGCAAGTCTCCAACCTGTCCCAAAATGTTATAGATTTGCAGAGACGTTCATTGGCATTTAAAGGCGCAACGCTTCCATTCCCGGAACATGTATGCCCAGAACCGTATGTCTTTATGCCTGACAGGTTCGACGGTTCCCGTTCTGCTTTTCCGATGTTCAAGACGGATTGTGAGCTACTATTTGCCCTGAAATCGAGAACCTACGCCACCGACTTTACCAAAGTACGCTCCGCTATTAACCTATGTACCGGGCGGATTAAGGCGTGGGCACACCAGAAGTTGCAGGAGAGAAGTACTGTCTTGGACTCCTGGGAGTTGTTCTCAGTGTATTGCAGCGAGAAAAGCAACTTCCAAGCCTACTTCAGGTTCTCGCAGAACCCGGTTGCCGAGAGAAGAGGAATTGTTTTATGGATACAAAAATCCCATCATGTTGCAGCATGAACCCACTTTCAGGGACCCGCCTTGTAACCCTGTTTACACTCGAGCTAGCAGTGAAACTCCAGTCGACATGGAGGAACCCATGGAGATTGGCTTCACCAGAACTAGATTGCCCCCAAAGGAAAAAGACCGCAGGAGAGCCCATGGTCTATGTCTATACTGTGGGAAAAGAGGGCATTTCATATCGCTCTGCCCGACTCGTCCACCTAGGCCAAGACCCCTTCTGTCTCGTGCCATTTGGACTTACCCTGTCATCCCAGCAAGACAGCCTGGACACTGCCAGTCCTGTCCACGTCCTGTGACACAAAAGGGTACCCAAACTACTACAGTTAATGTAACCAGTACCCCTGTGGAATCTCCACCTCCTGCTCCAGAAACATTTGCACCATCACCACTTCCTGCCTTGCCAAAACAGTTCTGCCACCTGACTGCACCTATGCCTCAAATGGCACAGTTGTGTGCAAACGGGATCTAGAAGTATTCGAAAAAACTTTGAAAGCTGCAAATGCCTCCCCTATAGCACCCGAAACTGGTACCATAAAATCCCAGGTCGTAAAAGGATACCTTAATTATAAAGACTGTCTTAGTGATACTGAGACCGAAGATGAGGAGTACCATTTCCAAGAAGAGCCTGTTCATGCCTGGAGGGCGTTCTTGACAGGGGGGTACTGTCACGGTTCACGCCATGACATCCAGTCTGCCAGACGTGGTCGCTCCGGAATCACCCGATAGGGGATTTGAACTGCGGTTGTTCTACACCGTATCCTGCTATCTTCCCTCTGAGCCATTTCAGGACTTTGGCTAACTCCTGTTTATTCTTGTTTTGCCTGCAGCACTAGGGAGCTGGACTTCACCAAAGGCTTGGATCTGTCAGTAACTCTCCAGCTGAATCTGATACCTAATTAACAAGGTATAAAAGGCTGCCTCACCCTGGGAGGGGTGTCAGTTCACTGACTCTGGTTTCCTTGTTTGGTTCCTGTTACTCCGTACCTGCGTTCCAGTGATTCTTGTCTAATTCCGGCTTCTGACCTTGGCTTTCCTCCTGGACTACTCTGGCTTCCCTGATTTTGGCTTCCCTTGACCACGCTTCTGCTAATCCCTGCTGTACTGAGTTTTGGAGCACTTTTCCTGGAAAGCCCCCGTGCACAGACTCACAGGCCAGGTGGCGTCTTACCTGGTCACCCTGGTCTGTGTCTACTTTGCAAGGGTGAGCGTATAACTCTGCGAGCTGGACTCCCTATCAGGTAAGACTCCGTTACAGACACACAGTCTGCAACGACCACTTTATTGGCTACACTCAGCTTTATACTTTTTCCCAAGCAAGGGGTGGTTCTCATACGGTATAACGACAATGTCCCCTCCCAGCATCCTCCCCCTTCCAGGGGTCGCATAACAGAGCCAGAACCCCAATACCTTTGTCCCCTGTTCACACGACACAGTGTCCCCTCCCAGGGCCCTCCACCTCCTATGAGTCTCTTGATGGAAATGGAACATCAGTCCCCTTGTCCCCTGTTCCCTCCACCCATCCTCAGAGTTTCACACCTCTGTACCTGGGAGCCTCAGCATGGGATAGCTTCCTGCCTCCTTGTCTCCCAGTCACAGAAAGCCCGCCAAAATGCCATTGTCCTCAAAGGGTGTCCCCACCAATCTCAGGGACCCCCAGAACGCTAACCGCCACAAATAGCCTCCGTTTGCGGGGTCACTGGGTGAAATCAGGCAAGGAAAGCATCTCATTTCGGGACATGAATGCTCCCCCTGGCAGTCGCTTATCCATATGAATGGCAGCCACCCAGGGAAGCACTCATTAATTACTTCCCTTGTGATTTCAAACTGATGTTGCAAGTAGCCAACGTACTAATTGATTGGTGTGAACACTCCAAGGGCACTGGGGAGGTCCTCGTTCGGGAACAGAACGAGGTGGGAAGCAATCCACAAATGCTCCCCCTTGACGGCGTTCATAGAATGAACAGGCCACCACCCAGAGGAGGAACGCGCCGAGGCTTCCCTTGCGGTTTGTGGTTTTGACACCTCATTACGAGGTGAGAACGTTCTAAACCAACATGCTAAATGAGTTGTCCTGGTTCGGGAGGGGAATGCCTTACCTTCATGTAGGCCCCCCCGAACGGGGAGCAGGCACATTCTTATGAAATATACGGGGGAATACACAGAGTATAAAATAGCAATTCACGAACAGGCAGCGGTCCTGCCACAGTGTCCCTGTAGTGGGTCACTCAGTGGGAGTAGGAAGGAAAGGAGTCTAAGCAGAGTACACATTTTTTTTGGAATGAATTAATCTACTTGGTACTGTTGAATGTATGCAGGAGTTTTATGGGATATGCTCAGTGCTCCCACTGAAAACAATTGGCCTGCAATAAATAGCCTTCTCCCTATCCCTGGAGAAGCTGCTGATTTAAAGCAAAGTAAAGTAAGAGTTTAGAGTATTTAGTGTTATATTTCAATAGTTTTTATTACTGAAAATCACTTTTGATTGAACGTTTTGCAAAGGTTTACAGAAGAAGGTTCATTAACCCAACAATGAGTTATAGAGAATGCAGAGTATCTACAGAACTTCAAAGCACACAGTACAGGAACATAAGTGACGTAGTTATGGTTCGGATCAAGTATGATTTAGGTGTTTCCTGCGACATGTAGCTATACTGGGATGTAAAACATATTTCAAGGTAAATAGACAAAAAAACTGACATCATGGTATTCTGAGAAATGTGTGCTTATGGCGACATGGGAACCACGAAGTTCTGAAACGATGGGGAGAATTCTGTTCCCTGGGGAGAAAGTGTGACCATCAAGTCTTAGCTGAAGACCCAGTCCATCAAGTCTTAGCTGAAGACCCAGAAATAAAAGCTGAAAGTTGTCCATAAAGGTCAAAGCTAGCCACTGTGCCCCAATATTTTTAATTCAATTCTTGCGTTTCCTAATGTTTTATCCAGTAACACACTTAAAAGGGAATACTGGAAGCTGGGGTACAGCCACAAAGATTATTTAATGAATCTAAAATTCCAACATACATCTATCTGCTCTAGAGGAGACTTAAAGGAACACTCCACGCGCCATAATCACTGCAGCTCCCTTTAGTGGTTATGGTGCTTAAAGTGTTCCTGTCACCTTTTCCTTTTACAAATATCAGAATAACATTTATTTTAATCATGGGATGTGTAGCTAGTATAAAGTATAAATTACAGTAATTCTGTGAATAAATAGCTTTTTAAGTTATTTAAACTCACTTTTTCTCCTAAAAAGGCCAACCACAGGTCTCGCCGTGATTGGCCATGCCTGGCTCTGCCTATGGCTGAGTTTATCAGTCTTGATGATCTCAGCCAATCCAATGCTTTCATACAGGAAAGCATTGGGAGGTTATAGCACATGTCCAGCAAAACTCCGCGCTAAACCAATCACTATCTCCTTTTCTCTGAAAAGGCAGCATTTACATTGAAAAGCCTGCAAGCTTATCGAGCTCTAGTGGTTGGGGTGACTATAGTGTATCTTTGTATATAATGTTCTCATTAGCTCGGAAACCCAGCTGTAGAGCACTCTGATATTGTAGAGATAGATCTCAAAGTTTGACACATCTTGCGATTTACATGAGATGAATATTACACGAGTATTATCACATGGGATACACGCACTAAATAGAAGGGTAATTATTAAACACTTTTACCTTTCTGGCAGAAGCTCTTTGGTATCACAGTTTTGGAGACGGTACTGACTGGGTTCTGCGCAGTACACGTGAAGATGTTATTTGTGTCTGGAACACGCAATAATCCATTAATCACTTTTATTTCAGTGCTGTTTGAACTGCTCCAGGTGATAATCACATCAGATCCATTTACTTTACAAATGACCCCACAGGTTCTATTTCTGGTAACACTGGGGAGAATCTCAACATCTTCAGGCAGCATTTTTTCTGGAACAGATACATAAAATGTTGATATAATAATATTATGTGTTGTCAGTTAATCAGTCCACATTTGATGCTTTTCAATCTGTTTAGTTTTGGCTAACAGCGGACAAATAAAGAGGCAAATGGGGCATCCAGCAGCATTTGTTACACTAAAAAAAATCTTTTAATGGTAAAAATGGGTGATGTTTTTTTTCTGAGGAGGTGTTGTTTACCTCTCAAATTTTCATAAAAAGGAAATATAATGCTTGAGGTAATTGTTGTAACGGATCACCTGGCCCCCCCCCCCGACTGGGTACCTCCGTTAACGGATGCTTCCTAGCTGAAGCCAAGGACTATAAGCACTGCACCGGACACCACAACCACTGTAGACTCCACAGCCGCCATAGCTTAACTGGAATCTCGCCATCTTCTTTCCACCCTGGATCAACCTCTGACACCCAGGACCGTGTAGGGGGGAGACCTCTCCTCCAGGAGAGCGTAACAGGAACAGCTCTTAAAAGAGCTAAGTGATTAGAGCCCATGGGAGTATACAAAGTATAGCAATCCCCAATGTGATTATAGCAGTTCCTCTCCAATCACGAGACAAGACTACGTGTTGAGGGTCAAAAAGGAACAGAAAGTTTAATGGCACACACTGGTATTTACACAAGTTTTACAGCAAAGGTGACGCCCAGGTGGACCTTGTTGGGCACCGAATACAAAACACACAAACCAATAAAAACAGAGGTTTACATTCAGACACTCCCATACAGTGTACACAATCCCTCCCCTCTGCCTGTGATACAATTAACGAAGACAATGGTCTAACTTAATTAACTCTAAGCAGAAAAACATTTTTACACAGTCTGGAAAACACCTCAAGACAACACATATCCCCATAAATCTCGCATCCCTGATAGCCCTGATCTGGGTGAAAAACATATCCAAGATTCACCCAGATCAGAGCACGGGTTCAGGAAATTCCTAGAAGTCTCTTTTGACTGACCGCAAGCATGGCTTCATGCCCAAAATAGTTCCAGAGAATTAGGCTGTGTGGGCGGTTTTCAATGTTAAAAGTGCACTATAGTACAAGGTAGGGTGGGGTCAGACAATAACAAGGGCTGATGGTAGATTGAGGAGGGACAAAGCAGCCAGTTTAAACTAGTCTGGCAGTGTCCCTGAAACAACACCCTGCTGGAGAAACAATAGCGGGAAGAGGCACATTTTCCCATGGAAGTCACTTTTTAACATGTCTTTTTGCAGGGCCCATAGTCTTTGGGCAAAAGGCCGGCCATTAGTCCTCTCCAAAAACCAGTGGCGAAATTGCTTTCGTCACAATTGTGTAAAGAAAACTATTTCATATTACAGTTCTGCTGTTTCCCTTCTCTCTGACTGATGACTGTCTAGAGCAGGGGTGCCCAAAATGTATCCCCATAAGCTTCAAAACTAAAGCTTCCATGATGCTTTCTCAATCTAAAGGCTTTCTGCAAAGCATCTTGGGAGATGTAGTTCTGCTGCATGTGGGGATCTACCTTTTAGGCACCCCTGATCTAGAGAGTCTGTAAAGAGTAAATGGGCATGTGAAGATTTGAGGGCATTTATGTAAATACGTCAAGTCTAAGTATGGACCTCAGCCTGTTCACTGACAGTGAATCTACATTTTGCAAAACATTCAGCCAAGCAAATTTTTGTTCATCAAAATTTTTCCCTATGAATATGAATCATTTTTTTATTGGGATGAATCAACCCTGGAAACATGAATATATAAATGTGCTGTACACATAGAAGGGAGCAGCACATTGTGATACTGTCTGTATGCAGGGTGTGATGAAAACACCTTCATCACTGGGTTTTGGAGAGGCCTGCTTGCCAGTCTCTTACCCTGTGAATATGGGCCCTGCAATATACCTTGCCCGATGCACTTTAAAAGGCTCCATTTATATAATGTATGTACTTTTGTACTCCATAAAAAGAGACCGACAGTTGACCTTAATTCCCTGGAACTGTTTTGGGCATAAGGACCACGTGCACGGTCGGTCAAAACTATGACTTCCAGAAAATTCCTGAACTGATCTGGGTGATTTTTGGATTTGTTGTTCACCCAGATCGGGGCTATCAGGGGATTATGGGGTCTTATGTGGTTTTAAGGTACTTTTTGGAGTTTCATAAAAATTTATGTTTTTTCTGTGCTTGGAGATGATTGGATTTTTAAAGTACAGTTCCTGATTCAATTATGTCCCAAGCACAGAGGATGGATCAGTGGCAGATCCGGGGGGGGGGGCAAGGGGGCCTTTGCCTCCCCGAGAGCCGATGCTCTCTCCTGCAGGGCCAGTGCTGTCCAAGCGCCGGCCCTGCTAAGTACCTTCATGGACCGGAGGGGAGATCAGAGTTCTCCCTCACCGGTCCGCAGGCATATTGCTGGGCAGCCGGCACGGAGAGAGGAGACCCAGGAGGAGTTCTAACCTGTAGCTCCGCCGGGTCTTCTCTCAGGAGGTGCAGGCTAGAATTCACTCCCCACTAGAACCGCCAAGGATTCCACCGGACCACCAGGGATTACAAGCGATATCCCCCCTCCCTGGGCAAAGGTAGGAAGGGAGGGGGGATTTTAAATAATATTTTATTAATTTAAAAAACAAAACATTTGTTTTACACCGCCCCGATAGCCCCCCATACCCACACACTTCTCCTCCAAACACACACTGCACCCCCACACACATACTTCTCCCCTTACACACAGTGCTCCCCATACAAACATTGCATTCCACACACACTGCACCCCCACACACACACGTCTCCCCCATACAAACATTGCACCCCCACACACACAGTGCTCCCCCACACAAACATTACACCCTCACACACTTCTCCCCCCACACACACTAGACCCCTATACACACAGTGCACCCCCACACAAGCACTGCACCCCCACAAAAGTCTCCCCCACACACACACACACTGCACCCACATACACACAGTGCTCCCACTACACCTTTATACACACACTGGCCCCATACACACAGTGCTTCCACTGCACTCCACATATACACACTGCACTCCCATGCACACACTACACCCCTCACACAAACACACACTGCCCCTCCTACATACATTGCTCCCACTGCAACCCTATACACACACTGGCCCACATGCACTGCCTCCCGTACACACAAACACACACACACACACACTATGCACCCCTCACACACTGTCTCCCATACCCACCCTGCATCCTTCACACACTCAGTGCCTCCCATACACACACACACACACACACACTGCCTACTCTCACACACACACACACACTACTAGAGGCTCTATCTCCTACTACAGCCCCTATCCTGGCAGACCCCAGGTAAATTGTCAAACTGTTCTTAAACCGTTTGACTATTTACTCTGGGAGGGCACCACGGCACTCCTGGTACCATAACCACTACAGAGAGCTGTAGTGTCCTAAACTTTATGTTTGATCCAAGAATAAATAGATAAACATATCTACATAATAGTCAAAAAAATTATAATTGATATATAAAAAATAATAATAATAATTGTTTAGGACACAAAAACTTTAATTAAAACTAAACAGTTTCCCTGGTTTAGTTAGTAACTAACAGGCTTGATTCTTTTTTGGGGGGTCTCTATATACATATTAAGTGACATCAATTTTATTCCCCTTATCTATGTCTTTCAATTATTCTTTGATTGTTATGTAGACATGTTTATTTATTTATTTATTTATTCTTGGATCAATCACTAAGTTAAGGACACAAAAGCTTCAATCAAAACTAGACAGTTTCCCTGTTTTAGTTAATAACTTTCATTCTGTTGCCACATGTAGCTTTAAGAAATTGAGTTTTGTGAATATTAGAGCTATCTCGGCCACCGTACTCATTCAATTTCCCCTACACCCAAAGACAACCAATGGAATTCAATGGCGGCCCTATTTAAACTCTGATAGATCGGTGAGTCACTTCCCCCTGATGAGCCTTGATTCTAAGGCGAAACGCGCGTCGGGGCATTCTTGGGGCTCTATCATGTTATTGCATTAATTAGCTGCCTGGTTCTCTGTCTTTTTGGATACTTCCCTATTGGGCATGGATTGATTTTGGCAAAGGGACACATTAACCTTCCTTTAGGTATCCTCCGCTACCTGACAGATTCCTCAGCTAAATTACCATTCTATTAGTAGATCTACCTCTCTAATATCCGAAAACGGATATTTAGGTGATTGACATATTAGTACCAGTTATATTGTAGCATCTAGTATCTGATCCCTCTCTCTCTCTGAGAGGGTCAGATTGGATTAGATTTAACGACCGTTCTTTTAGTGGTATTTTCCCACGGGTTACAGCTATTTTCTCTCTATGTGTTATTTCTCGGATACATAGTAACATGGTATCATTTTTGACTATAGCAGACTGGTAAACAGTTTATTTGCTAATTGTTACATATGTTCCCAGTGGGAGTTCTATTTAATTAGTTTTGTTTTATTTTATTTTGCTCCTTTTTTATTATACTCATCTTTCATTTTATACACATAAACGTTTTTCTCGGTACTGCCGTTATGGACATTTCTTTATTTTGCTAGGCAGTTCCTCTAAGGGCACATATGATGTGTTGTGTGTTTTCTTGTTTATTTTTTGATCTCATAATAAAGTATCTTCGAGATTTTTAACTCTGTATAGTTTAGTTTATTTATCATCTGTTATTCTGGATGGTGTTGGAACAGATTTTTGTTCTTTTCTTTCAGTATTATTATCCAGGGTTACCCCTTCACCTAACTTATTTCAAGACATTTATTGAATCAAATCTTTTTGCCATTTTTTCTCATTATTATACTACATCCATTTTTATAGCCATATCAGCACGGGCCTCAGTGTACTCTGCCATGGTGTTTTCTACTGTGGCTGTTCTGGCCCCTAGTTCCTGCAAATATTTGCGGAGATCTCCTAGTGAGGATTGTAGGGTCTGCCTTCTTTGTTCGGACATTGCGTCCAGCATAGTCTTTAAGACACCATCGGTGACCGGATGGTCTAGTGCCTGCATGCTTCGCAAGGGCTCCAGCTCCGGCTCCTCTGAGCCATCTTGGCTTTCTTCAGCCAGCACCAGGAATTTGTTCTGCCTGGTTTTTGGGGCGAAAAAAATTGCGATTTTACCTGTCTCTCCGATGTCCTCTTTGGGCTGAGACATGTCGTATTTTGCCATCAGAGTCGGGTGGTAATGGTCCAAATAGCTTAGATTAAGGCCTTAGGTGCAGAGCAGAACATCTTTTATAGATATTTATGTAGTTTCCATGATATTTTATATGACTATTTTTGAAGATTTTTTTATGAAGAACAATTTAAAGGGAGAATTTCTTTTTTACAATTAATAACATTTAAGTATATCCCCCTACAACTAATACCACCAAAATTAATGTACTGCACAGTGCTTATTTAGTTATTATTTTTTTATTATTTCTGCTTGCTATAAAGCACTATAATAATTATGAAATGTATTGAACATATAACAATTTTGGTTAAACATTTGTGTATGTTTATTCTCTCATCTTTCTCTCATACAAACTTGGACACTTTCGAGGAGTTGAAACGCTTATGCTTTCCAAACCCGAGCTTTATTATAAATGATCCCCAAACAGGCGAAGGATGCATTCCACGTGAAGCCGAAGAGAGAAACCTGGTGGAACTTGGGAAGTTGACGGACCACAGATGTAGCGTCGATTACGCCCTAGAAAGCCAGGGAAACTCAAATTTGCAGCAATCAAGCCAATATAAAGGCTGCCATTGGTAAACTGTACTATTTTCCAATTAAGGAAGCCAGTTTCTCTAGCGAAATGCGTTTTGGATTTTTAAGTGCCTTTTCTATATCTTGTGCAGATTTTGTTTGCCCTCAGTGCTTTTTTTAAGTATACCAACAACCTGGAGTGCCTGTCACTCTTCATTTATGGGTTTACTTCTGATTTTTTTTTTTTTGAAACCACATGATTGCAACCAGTATTAATTATAAGTGATTGTATATACAGTATCACACTATAGTTCCTGTATCTGCTTCCAGCCACTGTGTCAACATTTACTTCTACAGAAGAGAGGTGTGGATCTCCTTTAAGGATCCAGAAGGTGTTATACACTAGAGTCACGTGACTTTATGGCTCTTTCCTTGTGAGTGTATGATACCTATTATTACACACTGATTCTTGTTATTAAAGAGATTTTCTGCATTATTATTGCATTATTATTTCTGCAGTATCTACCATGTATCTAAAAGGTATATTATAGCTCCACTCATTACATGTGTTTAACAAGTTATATCAAACTATGACATTAATGCAGCTAAGGACCTAAATGGGAATACATTGGATCATTGGGACCATTTTCCAGATTTCTTGCAGAACTATCAGTCCCATCATCTAAACACCCTGTGGATAATGTGCTTTGTAGTTTAAATAACAGCTTTCCTATCTCTTCGGTGATTTAAGTTTAGATATCAGAGACAATCTCTGAGACTCTGGCAAAAATAAACTGCCCCAGGGGGTAAAACCAGGGCGAGCACATGTTACCAGCTGTCACTGTGTTTACCCACTATAAATAATGGTAATGAAGGCTGAAGGAACGCTGCAAAACCCTCAAGCACTTCAGCTGATAAATGGTTTAGTGAAGTAACAGATTTATTTTACAGGAAAGGGGCGGCCAGTAACCTAAAAATACTTTACAACACTCTGCGTTTTATATAAATGTATTTATTGATAAAGCTGGCGTGTTCCTTTAATCTCACTGATACTTTGTGTAAACGCTATACATTGATAAATACGGACTGTTGTGGAAATGAAATATTGACATATTTTTAGCTAGTAAAATGTCTATTTACTCCATTTAGTTATTCTCAATAAATTACTAAACTGACCACTAGCTGTCACTCAGGAGTACCCCACCCATCGACTAAACACTCTAATTTTCAAGATGGCGCTGGAATCCGGGGGAGAACTTCATGACGACAGTAATGACATAAGAAGGCATACCCAGTAGGACGTGCTTTGAATAAAGCACTTAACACTTAACCAATTATCGATGTATTATTTCATGTTATCTCTGACAATGCTTATGATGTAATTTTGCTTTAAAAGGGACCTGCCGTCCCCTCTGAATAAACTTTCCTCAAGTTATTCAACAACCTGGAACCTGTGTCTGGTGTGAATTACTTCAGGGAGCGTGCACGCATTGTTTCATTAATTTGGCCAGGGGCAGATACACAAAGAAATAATCAATTCATTGATTGATTTTTCCATTTCAATTGGCGCCCAACGTGGGGCACCGGTTTTGCCGGTTCGGAGGGCCGGAATCCAAGGACCGGAGCGGACCCCCAGAAAATGGGACAACCGGAGCCTTATCACCTCCAAAATACAGCCGTTGTCTGTATATTCCTTTTTGTGGTGGTCTGTCTCTGCGTCTACTTCCGGCATCCAGAAGGCTACAAGACAGGTAACTTCTTATCCGGTGCCTATTTAAAACGAACCTGTCGATTGTCTATCTGCCTCCTGAGTGCTTGTATGAATGTGTGTGACGGCCGGTGCATGTGCTTTTCTTTTAAAATTTTAGCTTGACTGCCTAGCGGGCAGTGGACGCATGACAGCCAGTAAGGGCTGGGTTTTTAGCTTGACTGGTTAGCGGGCAGGGGACGCATTACAGCCAGTAAGGGCTGGGTTTTTAGCTTGACCGCCTAGCGGGCAGGGGACGCATTACAGCCAGTAAGGGCTGGGTTTTTAGTTTGACCGCCTAGCGGGCAGGGGACGCATTACAGCCGGTAGGGGCTGGGTACCACCCGGAGAAGGGTTGGGGAATTGTTACAGCCAGTAAAGGGCTGGGGACCACCTGGTAAAGGGTGGGGTTATTGTGTTATTGTTTTATTGTTGTCCACCCGGTAAAGGGTTGGGGTACAGCCTAGAGAGAGGCCGGAATTGTGATTGTATTGTCCTGAGTGGTTCAGGGGTTATTGCTGTGTTTTATTGTTTTACTATGCCTTTTTTGTCTTAGTATGTACATGGCCATATTGTTTTCTGTCATTTTGTGGATTTTGTTCAATTGTTGTTACAGTGTGGGTACCTTTGGTGTTTGTGTGTGTGTAGTGTGGTTTGTTCTTGACTCTGGAGTGTACACCCACTTCTATGTATGTGATTTCTGAAAATGCCTAGTGCTACTTTCATTTTCTCCCTTACTCTGTATCTGTTCTGTCTCTGCTGCCCAGAGCTGTGTTAGTCACCCACGCTCGCCCCCTCCGGTCTGTGGCCACCACCCCCGGGTGCACAGACCATCATGACTAGTCTACGTTTTGGGAAGACGCACGGGTCCACCGTGGCAGTCAAGCACTGTAGACTTTCCTACTTCTTCTTCCCTCTCACTTGGTCTCCTTTACTTGGCAGACCTCGCTTGGTCAAAAAGGGGCAAGAACATGCTAGACCAGCTAAGGGGTATTTGGCTTGTGATATTGTTAAAGAGAGGGCAGGGGAAGAAACTATGCTGAAAATGAAAAAGTTAGCAAAGATTTCTGGTTTCCAAACGTATAAGTCTCTGTCCTTCCGTCTTGTTACTTTACAGCGCTCACATGGTTAACCTTCAAGCCTGCAGTTTCTCTCGTTTTTCTCTCTCCCCTTTTTGCACTCTGTCTCACTTTCTGTCTCACTCCCCCCCAACCCCCTTGCCTAGGGGGGGAGGAGTGACATGCCTGCATTTCGGAGCTACCGATAAGAGTTAGAGACGGGATTTTTGCTGGAAAATATTCTAATTGTGTAATATTGTGTACATTGTTATATACATAGACGTTGTTAGGAAGGTTATGGTGTTATAATTGTGTAATAATATTATTATTATTGCCATTTGCATGGCGCCAACAGATTCCGCAGTGCTATATATATATGAATTGTGTTTTGTGATAAGGTAGTGAGGATTGTGGGGGAGACTAGCTCACAAGAATGCATTCAGTGTTGAATACGGAATTTAGGAAGGTGTAGCCTGATAACAATAATAGAGGGATATTTGGACATGTTATGTGTAAAAGGCAAGTGTGATTTGTTGCAATACTAAGCAATGTGGATAGAGGGATTATGCAGTATGGCTAGGTTAGTATAAGAAGAGGATGGTGATTAATGGTTGTTGGATGATAAGGGAAATTGGTTGAATTCCGTGAGTTTATTTTGCATCATGTTATTTTAAAGTATATGCTTCTACGGACAGCTTCATGGGTTGTTGAATGCATTATGTTCTCAACTGTCTTATTTAACCTGCCAGGTTTATTTATAGTTTAGTATTTAAATCTCAGAACTGACTTATTTTATTAGTTATAATATAGTGTATTGTTGAAAGTGCGTCAGCCACCACCCTAAAGATGGCGCCTAGTACAGAAGGAGGTTGGCCCTGCCAGTCCCGTGACCTATCTACAGTCACGGTTGCTTCTAAAGTGACGTCACTTCCGCCCTTACCATGCCCACACCTCCTGTCTTCCTTTCCCACACATATCATGGACGTCACCCCCCTCACTTCCTCCTTGCTGTCATTTCCTTCCCCGCCCCTGTCATGGCTGCCTCCATCATGAGGCCTACCCCTATTATGCTCGTCCTATTTAGAGACATGTTGTTTTCCTTACACTCTACATATTATGAACAGGAACATTATAATTACTAAAACAATCATGCCATTTGTTTCCCTGTATCAGAAATGTGTCCGTGATAATATTCAAAAAAAAAAAAAAAAAAGTTGCTAAAATGTCATTTGCAACTGTGGTGTGACCTACAAATGAGTTCTGTTGGGCACGAATATAAGAGCATAACAGCTGATTATCCAGATTAATATTCATTAATGCCTGTGTCTTGCAACAAGGGAAATTGCCAAATAATGCAAGTTATTTTAAACATTGTATCTTTACTTAATCGAATCTTGCTAGTTACAAATCGTATGTTTACAGTAACATCCTTTACGTTAAATGATGGTTTAGCATTAGAAGAGTTTGTGACATGTTTTATTAACCCAGCCACTACTGGTTATTCATTTAGTTACAGGGTGGTATAATTGTTATGGTCTAATTAATATAAATGATAGTACCGCAATAGTTAATGTTTTATCCAAAGACATATAGGAACTTTACTTCACTTCCTATTAACCATTATTTATAATGATAGACATGTTCAGACTGCAAAAAGCTATGGCTAATGACATAGA